GCCTCTCATTGGCTGAGCCTCCGGCACGGGGGCGTGGCTCCGCCGGTCCCCGTGGTCCCGCCCTCCTCATTTGCATACAGCGATGCCATTGGCAGAGAGGGACACGCCCCTTCTTTTGCCCCCGCCCCTTCGCCGCGGGCGTTTCAACGCGCCTCACCCAACGGTTTTGGGGTGGTTTAAGGCGTTTCTGACGCGTTTTTGGCCGTTTCGAGGCGTCTCCGCCCCGTTTTTGGCCGTTTCGAGGCGTCTCCGCCCCGTTTTTGGCCGTTTCGAGGCGTCTCCGCCCCGTTTTTGGCCGTTTCGAGGCGTTTCCTTCCCGTTTTTGGCCGTTTCGAGGCGTTTCCGCCCCGATTTTGGCCGTTTCGAGGCGTTTCCACCCCGGTTTTGGCCGTTTCGAGGCGTCTCCGCCCCGATTTTGGCCATTTCGAGGCGTTTCCACACCGTTTTTGGCCGTTTCGAGGCGTTTCCACCCCCGTTTCGGCCGTTTCGAGGCGTTTCCTCCCCGTTTTTGGCTGTTTCGAGGCGTTTCCACCCCCGTTTTGGCCGTTTCGAGGCGTTTCCGACCCGTTTTTGGCCGTTTCGAGGAGTTTCCACCCCGATTGCTGGCGTTTCTGCCCCAGTTTTGGCCTTTTCTCGGCGTTTCCACCCCGGTTTTGGCCGTTTCGAGGCGTTTCCACCCCGTTTCTGGTCGTTTTGAGGCGTTTCCACCCCATTTCTGGCCATTCCGAGGCGTTTCCACCCCGGTTTTGGGTGTTTTGAGGAGTTTCCATTCCGTTTTAGGGTCCTCCAAAGCGTTTCCACCCAAGTTTTGGCTGTTTTGAAGCCTTTCCACCCCGTTTTTTGGCTGTTCCGAGGGGTTTCCACCCGGTTTTGGCCATTTCGAGGTGTTTCCACCCTGGTTTTGGCCATTTCAAGGTGTTTCAACACCGGTTTTGCCCGTTCCAAAGCATTTCCACCCTGGTTTTGGCCGTTCCAAAGTGTTTCCACCCCGGTTTTGGCTGTTTCAAGGCATTTCCGCCCCAGTTTTGGCAGTTTCGAGGCGTTTCCAGTCTGGTTTTGGCCATTTCAAGTCATTTCCACCCCGCTTTTGGCCGTTTCGAGGTGTTTCAACTCCGGTTTTGGCTGTTTCAAGGCATTTCCACCCTGGTTTTGGCCGTTTCGAGGCGTTTCCACCCCATTTTTTGCCATTTTAAGGCATTTCCTCCCTGTTTTGGGACGTTCCAAGGTATTTCCACCCCTGTTTTGGCTGTAACATGGCGTTTCCATCCCATTTTTGGCTGTTCTAAGGCATTTCCACCTTGTTTTGGCCGTTTTGAGGCATTTCCACCTCTGGTTTTGGCCGTTTTAAGGAGTTTCCACCCTGTTTTAGGGCATTTCACCTCCTCCCCTCCCTGTTTTAGGGCATTTCCAGCCCTCCCCCCCCCCCCCGGATTTTTGATGTGTTTCAGATCCTTCCCTCCCCCCCATTTTGGAGGGGTTTCAATGCCCCCCAAGCCGTTTTAGGGCATTTTAAGGCCTCCCACCCTCCATTCTGGGGCACTTCAGGGCTCCCCCACACTATAAGAGGTTGAGGGGTGACCAAGACACCCCCCCCTCAATTGGCACAATGGCAGTTTCGGGGTCCCATCCTCAACGTTTTAGGGTGTTTCAAGCCCCCCCCCCCAGGCTTCTGAGTCCCTCCCCAAAGCCACCGGGGGGCAGAACTAATTGAAGGCACTTTAATGACTGTATATACACATACATATGTAATGACCCATTGAACCCTGCCCTGATGCTTGAAGCGGGGGGGGGGGGGGTGTTTGGGGGCTGTTTCAAGGGTCCAGGGGGGGGAACTCCTTGTCCTCACTGCTGTCCCCATCGCTGTCCCCGTCACTGTCATCGGTGTCCTCGTCCTCCCCCCGCAGCATCCGGCGCACGGTGCGGGACAGCGTCAGTGGGTCACACCTGGGGGAGGGCCGCCATCCCATAATACCCCATATAGACCCCCTCCATTCCATAATACCCCATACACCCACCATTATCCCATAATACCTCATATAGATCCCCCCCACTATCCCATAATACCCTATGTAGGTGCCCCCACTATCCCATAATACCACATATAGACCCCCCATTATCCCGTAATACCCCATATAGACTCCCCATTATCCCATAATACCCCATATAGAACCCCCATTATCCCATAATACCTCATATAGACCCCCACTATCCCATAATACCCCATATAGACTTCCATTATCCCATAATACCCCATGTAGCCCCCCCCATTATCCCATAATACCCCATATAGACCCCACTATCCCATAATACCCCATGTAGACCCCCCATTATCCCATAATACCCCCATGGGGTGCTATAGGGTGCTATAAGGAGCCTATAGGGAAGCTATAGGGTGCTCTGTGGTGCTATAGGGTTCCATAGGGTACCATAGGGTGTCATAGGGTGCTATAAGGTGTTATAAGGAGCCCATAGGGTTTCATAGGGTGCTATAGGGCTCCATAGGGTGCCATAGGGCTCAATAGGGTGTCATAGGGTGCTATAAGGAGCCCATAGGGTTCCATAGGGTACCATAGGGTGTCATAGGGTGCTATAGGGTGTTATAAGGAGCCCATAGGGTTTCATAGGGTGTCATAGAGCTCCGTAGGGTTCCATAGGGTACCATAGGGTGTCATAGGGTGCTATAAGGAACCCATAGGGTTCCATAGGATACCATAGGGTGTCATAGGGTGCTATAAGGAACCCATAGGGTTCCATAGGGTACCATAGGGTGCTATAGGGCTCCATAGGGTGCCATAGGGCTCCATAGGGTGCCATAGGGCTCCAGAGGGTGCTATAGGGCTGCATAGGGTGCTATAGGGTGCCATAGGGTGTCATAGGGTGCTATAAGGAACCCATAGGGTTCCATAGGGTACCATAGGGTGCTATAGGGCTCCATAGGGTGCCATAGGGCTCCATAGGGTGCCATAGGGCTCCAGAGGGTGCTATAGGGCTCCAGAGGGTGCTATAGGGCTGCATAGGGTGCTATAGGGCTCCATGGGGTGCCATAGGGCTGCATAGGGTGCTATAGGGCTCCATAGGGTGCTATAGGGTGCTATAGGGCTCCATAGGATGCCATAGGGCTCCATAGGGTGCTATAAGGTGCTATAGGGCTCCATAGGGTTCTATAGGGTGCCATAGGGTGCTATAAGGTGCCATAGGGCCCCATAGGGTGCTATAGGGCTCCATAGGGTGCTATAGGGCCCCATAGGGTGCTATAGGGCTCCCTAGGGCTGCGGGGTCCCACCTGAGCCTCGCTCTCAGGGCAGTCACGTGACGCGCGGTGGCCGCGGCCCCGTCCCCGGCGGCCTCGAGCTCCTGGCGCAGGCGCCAGCCCTGGGCTTGGTCACGTGACGTCCCCGCGGCCACCGCGGCCACGCGCTCGGCCACAGCGCGGCACATGACCTCCAGGGCCTGCGCCTGGGGGGGACACGTGAGGTCACGTGACAGCACGTGGTGACACGTGATGACACATGGTGACACTTGGCGACGCATGAGGTCACCTGATGTCACCTGACGAGACGTGACATCACATGATGACATAGAACGCCACGTGATGTCACATGATGACATATGATGACACATGGTGACGCGTGATGATATGATGACTCAGGATGACACATGATGTGACATGGTGGCATGTGATGACATGACAACACATGGTGAGACATGATGTCACATGATGACACGTGATAACATGTGATGACACAGCATGACACGTGATGTCACACGACGACACACGATAACACGTGATACACAGCACGACACGTGATGTCACATTATGACACATGATGACAGGGATGTCACACAAGGACACACGATAACACGTGATGACACAGCACGACACGTGATGTCACATGACGACACATGACGACACATGATGTCCCACAACAACACATGATAACATGCGATGACACAGCACGACACGTGATATCACATAACGACACATGGTGACACGGGATGTCACACAACGACACACGATAACACGTGACGACACAGCACAACACACGATGTCACATGACAGCACATGATGTCACACGACACACAATAACACGTGACGACACAGCACGACACACGATAATACGTGACGACACAGCACGACACGGGATGTCACATGACGACACATGATGACACACGACACACGATAACACGTGATGACACAGCACGACACACGATGTCACACGACGACACATGACGTCACACGACACACGATAACACGTGACGACACAGCACGACACGGGATGTCATATGACGACAGATGATGACAGTGATGTCACATGACACATGATAGCACGTGATGTCACAGCACGACACGGGATGTCACATGACGGCAGATGATGACAGTGATGTCGCATGACACATGATAACACGTGACGACACAGCACGACACGTGATGTCACACGACGACACACGATAACACGTGACGTCACAGCACGACACGGGATGTCACATGACGACAGATGATGACAGTGATGTCGCATGACACATGATAACACGTGATGACACAGCACGACACGGGATGTCACACGACGACACATGATGTCACACGACACATGATAACACGTGACGACACGGGATGTCACGCGACGACACATGATGACAGGGATGTCGCACGAGGACCCGTGACGACGCCGGTGACGTCAGCGCTGACGTCACAGGCGCCCCGCCCTCACCTGCAGCCGGTACCGCTCCCCCCGCAGCCGCTGCTCCTGCAGCTCCCCCCGCAGCGCCCGCAGCCGCCTCCGCGCCGAGCGGGCCGAGCGCAACAGCGCCCCCCGCGCCCTGCAGGGGAACAGCACCCAGCGGATAACGGCACCCATAGGGGTAACGGCACCCATAGGGATAACGGCACCCATAGGGGTAACGGCACCCATAGGGGTAACGGCACCCATAGGGGTAACACAGCACCCATAGGGGTAACGGCATCCATAGGGGTAACGGCACCCATAGGGGTAACACAGCACCCATAGAGATAACACAGCACCCATAGGGGTAACGGCATCCATAGGGATAACACAGCACCCATAGAGATAACACAGCACCCATAGAGATAACACAGCACCCATAGGGGTAACGGCACCCATAGGGATAACGGCACCCATAGGGGTAACGGCACCCATAGGGATAACACAGCACCCATAGGGGTAACGGCACCCATAGGGATAACACAGCCCCCATAGAGATAACACAGCACCCATAGAGATAACACAGCACCCATAGGGGTAACGGCACCCAGAGGGATAACGGCACCCATAGGGGTAACGGCACCCATAGGGATAACACAGCACCCATAGGGGTAACACAGCACCCATAGGGGTAACACAGCACCCATAGAGATAACACAGCACCCATAGGGGTAACGGCACCCATAGGGATAACGGCACCCATAGGGATAACACAGCACCCATAGAGATAACACAGCACCCATAGGGGTAACACAGCACCCAGCGGATAACGGCACCCATAGGGGTAACGGCACCCATAGGGGTAACACAGCACCCATAGGGGTAACGGCACCCATAGGGGTAACACAGCACCCATAGAGATAACACAGCACCCATAGGGGTAACGGCACCCAGAGGGATAACACAGCACCCATAGAGATAACACAGCACCCATAGGGGTAACGGCACCCAGAGGGATAACACAGCACCCATAGAGATAACACAGCACCCATAGGGGTAACACAGCACCCATAGGGGTAACACAGCACCCATAGAGATAACACAGCACCCATAGGGGTAACACAGCACCCATAGAGATAACACAGCACCCATAGAGATAACACAGCGCCCATAGGGGTAACACAGCACCCATAGGGGTAACACAGCACCCATAGAGATAACACAGCACCCATAGGGGTAACACAGCACCCATAGAGATAACACAGCACCCATAGGGGTAACACAGCACCCATAGGGTTAACGGCACCCATAGAGATAACGGCACCCATAGGGATAACGGCACCCATAGAGATAACACAGCACCCATAGGGATAATGGCACCCATAGGGGTAACGGCACCCATAGGGATAACGGCACCCATACGGGTAACGGCACCCATAGGGTTAACGGCACCCATAGGGATAACGGCACCCGTAGGGATAACACAGCACCCATAGAGATAACACAGCACCCATAGGGATAATGGCACCCATACGAGTATAACGGCACCCAAGGAGATAACACAGCACCCATAGGGATAACGGCACCCATAGGGGTAAAGGCACCCATAGGGATAACGGCACCCGTAGGGATAACGGCACCCGTAGGGATAACGGCACCCATAGGGGTAATGGCACCCGTAGGGATAACAGCACCCATAGAGATAACAGCATCCATAGGGATAACACACCACTCATAGGGTTAACACAGCACCCATAGGGACAGCACCCATAGAGACAGCGCCCATAGAGACAGCACCCATAGGAAGAAAGCACCCATAGCACACCCACAGCACACACACAGCACCCATAGCACACCCATAGCACACACAGCACCCATAGCACACCCAGCACCCACAGCACCCATAGCACACACAGCACCCATAGCACACCCACAGCACACACACAGCACCCATAGCACACCCATAGCACACACAGCACCCATAGCACACAAAGAGCACCCATAGCACACACAGCACCCATAGCACACACAGCACCCACAGCACCCATAGCACACCCACAGCACCCATAGCACACCCATATCACACACAGCACCCATAGCACCCCCAGCACCCATAGCACCCCCAGCACCCACAGCACCCATAGCACCCATAGCACACACAGAACCCATAGCACACAAAGAGCACCCATAGCACACACAGCACCCATAGCACACCCATAGCACACACAGAGCACCCATAGCACACACAGCACCCATAGCACCCATAGCACACACAGCACCCATAGCACACACAGCACCCTTAGCACACACAGCACCCATAGCACACACAGAGCACCCATAGCACATACAGCACCCATAGCACACACACAGCACCCATAGCACACACACAGCACCCAGAGCACACACAGCACCCATAGCACACACACAGCACCCATAGCACACACAGCTCCCGTAGCACACCCAAGCACCCATAGCACACACACAGCACCCGTAGCACACTCAGCACCCACAGCACCCATAGCACTCATAGGCACCCACACAGCACCCATATCACAAACAGCACCCATAGCGCACACAGAGCACCCATAGCACACACAGAGCACCCATAGCACATTCAGAGCACCCATAGCACACCCAGCACCCATAGCACACCCAGCACCCATAGCACACACAGAGCACCCACAGCACCCATAGCACTCATAGCACACACAGCACCCATAGCACACACACAGCACCCATAGCACACACAGCACCCATAGCACACACACAGCACCCATAGCACACACACAGCACCCATAGCACACCCAGCACCCATAGCACACACAGCACACACAGCACCCACAGCACCCATAGCACACACAGCACCCATAGCACACACACAGCACCCATAGCACACCCAGCACCCATAGCACACACAGAGCACCCATAGCACACACAGCACCCATAGCACACACACAGCACCCATAGCACACACAGAGCACACAGAGCACTCATAGCACACACAGCACCCACAGCACCCATAGCACCCATAGCACACACAGAGCACCCATAGCACACACAGCACCCATAGCACACCCATAGCACACACAGAGCACCCATAGCACACCCAGAGCACCCAGAGCACCCACAGCACCCATAGCACCCAGAGCACACACAGCACCCATAGCACCCAGAGCACACACAGAGCACCCACAGCACCCATAGCACCCATAGCACACACAGCACCCATAGCACCCATAGCACACACAGCACCCACAGCACCCATAGCACCCATCGCACGCACAGGACCCACCCACAGCACCCATTGCCCCCCCCCCCTCACTCCGTCTCCCTCCTCAGCAGCTCCCCCACGTGACTGCAGCGGGCGCTGAGCGCGGCCTCGGCGCGCGCCGGGGGCTCCCAGAGGCTCCGCCCCCGCAGGCTCCGCTGCTCCGCCTCCAGCCGCCACCGCGCATGCGCCGACTCCTGAGCCCGCAGCGCCGCGGCCGCGAGAGCTCGGCCCAGTTCCAGCACCTGGGACAGCGGCAGGGAGAGAGGGAGAGCATTGACACCCATTGACACCCATTGACACCCATTGACACCCATTGACACCCATTGACACCCATTGACACCATTGACACCCATTGACACCCACTGACACCCATTGGAACCCATTGACACCCATTGACACCCATTGGAACCCATAGACACCCATTGGAACCCATTGGAACCCATTGACACCATTGACACCCATTGACACCCAGTGACACCCATTGACACCCATTGACACCATTGACACCCATTGACACCCATTGACACCCATTGGAACCCATTGACACCATTGACACCCACTGACACCCATTGGAACCCATTGACACCCATTGACACCCATTGGAACCCATAGACACCCATTGGAACCCATTGGAACCCATTGACACCATTGACACCCATTGACACCCAGTGACACCCATTGACACCCATTGACACCATTGACACCCATTGACACCCATTGACACCCATTGGAACCCATTGGAACCCATTGACACCATTGACACCCATTGACACCCAGTGACACCCATTGACACCCATTGACACCCATTGGAACCCATTGACATCCATTGACACCCACTGACACCCACTGACACCCATTGGAACCCATTGACACCCATTGACACCCACTGACACCCATTGGAACCCATTGACACCCATTGACACCCCTTGACACCCACTGACACCCACTGACACCCATTGACACCATTGACACCCATTGACACCCAGTGACACCCATTGACACCCATTGACACCATTGACACCCATTGACACCCATTGACACCCATTGACACCCATTGGAACCCATTGGAACCCATTGACACCATTGACACCCATTGACACCCAGTGACACCCAGTGACACCCATTGACACCATTGACACCCATTGACACCCATTGACACCCATTGGAACCCATTGGAACCCACTGACACCATTGACACCCAGTGACACCCAGTGACACCCATTGACACCCATTGACACCATTGACACCCATTGACACCCATTGACACCCATTGACACCCATTGGAACCCATTGGAACCCATTGACACCATTGACACCCATTGACACCCAGTGACACCCATTGACACCCATTGACACCATTGACACCCATTGACACCCATTGACACCCATTGACACCCATTGGAACCCATTGGAACCCATTGACACCATTGACACCCATTGACACCCAGTGACACCCATTGACACCCATTGACACCCACTGGAACCCATTGACAACCATTGACACCCATTGACACCCAGTGACATCCATTGGAACCCACTGGAACCCATTGACACCATTGACACCCAGTGACACCCAGTGACACCCATTGACATCCATTGGAACCCATTGGAACCCATTGGAACCCATTGACACCCATTGACACCCATTGACACCCATTGACACCCATTGACACCCATTGGAACCCATTGGAACCCACTGACACCCATTGACACCCATTGACATCCATTGACACCCATTGGAACCCATTGACACCCATTGACACCCACTGACACCCACTGACACCCATTGACACCCATTGACACCATTGACACCCACTGACACCATTGAAACCCATTGACACCCATTGACACCCATTGACACCCATTGACACCATTGACACCCATTGACACCCAGTGACACCCATTGACACCCATTGGAACCCATTGACACCATTGATACCCATTGACACCATTGACACCCATTGACACCCACTGACACCCACTGACATCCATTGACACCTACTGACACCCATTGACACCCATTGACACCCATTGACACCCATTGACACCATGGACACCCATTGACACCCACTGACACCCATTGACACCCATTGATACCCATTGACACCCATTGACACCCATTGACACCATTGACACCCACTGACACCCATTGACACCCATTGACACCATTGACACCCACTGACACCCACTGACACCCATTGACACCCATTGACACCCACTGACACCCACTGACACCTACTGACACCCATTGACACCCATTGACACCCATTGACACCCACTGAAACCCACTGACACCCATTGACACCCATTGACACCATTGACACCCATTGACACCCATTGACACCCATTGATACCCATTGACACCATTGACACCCATTGATACCCACTGACACCCATTGACACCCATTGACACCATTGACACCCACTGACACCCACTGACACCCATTGACACCCATTGACATCCATTGATACCAACTGACACCATTGACACCCATTGACACCATTGACATCCATTGACACCCTTGACAGCCATTGACACCCATTGACACCCAGTGACACCCATTGACAGCCATTGACACCCACTGACACCCATTGACACCCATTGACACCATTGACACCCATTGACACCATTGACACCCCTTGACACCCCTTGATACCCATTGACACCATTGACACCCATTGACACCCACTGACACCATTGACACCCATTGACACCATTGACACCCATTGACACCCATTGGAACCCACTGAGACCCATTGACTCCCATTGACACCATTGACACCCATTGACACCATTGACATCCATTGACACCCATTGACACCCATTGACACCCATTGACACCCACCGGCACCCATTGACACCCATTGGCACCATTGACACCCATTGACACCATTGACATCCATTGACACCCATTGACACCCATTGACACCCATTGATACCCATTGACACCATTGACACCCATTGACACCCATTGATATCCATTGACACCATTGACACCCATTGACACCCACTGACACCCACTGACACCCATTGACACCCACTGACACCCATTGACACCCATTGACACCAGTGACACCCATTGACACCCATTGACACCCACTGATACCCATTGACACCATTGACACCCCTTGACACCCCTTGATACCCATTGACACCATTGACACCCACTGACACCCACTGACACCCACTGACACCCATTGACACCCACTGGAACCCATTGACACCATTGACACCCCTTGACACCCCTTGACACCCCTTGACACCCATTGACACCATTGACACCCATTGACACCCACTGACACCCATTGACACCCGTTGACACCCATTGACATCCATTGACACCCCTTGACACCCGTTGACATCCATTGACACCCAGTGTCACCCATTGACACCCATTGACACCCACTGACATGGATTGACACCTATGGGCACCCATTGACACCCATTGATATCCATTGTCACCTATGGGCACCCACTGACAACCATTGACAGCCATTGACACCCTATAGGTACCCCTTAACCCCCTACAGATACTGCCTATACCCCATGGGTCACATCTATACCCCTATAGGTACCCCTTAGTCGCTATAGGTACCCCTTAACCCCCTATAGATACTGCCTATAGCTCACAGATCACATCCATACACCCTATAGGGACCCCTTAACCCCCTATAGATACTGCCTATACCCCATAGATCACATCTATACACCCTGTAGGTACCCCTTAACCCCCTATAGATACTGCCTATACCCCATAGATCACATCTATACACCCTGTAGGTACTCCTTAACCCCCTATAGATACCCCACCTGCTGCAGCTCCTGCCCCTGCAATGGCACCCATAGGTGACACTAAGACCCCATAGGTGCACCCTCATACCCTATAGATACCAGCTATGCCCCCATAGGTGCACCCTCATACCCTATAGATACCATCTATGCCCCCATAGGTGCACCCTCATACCCTATAGATACCACCTATGTTCCCATAGGTGCACCCTCATACCCTATAGATACCATCTATGCCCCCATAGGCGCACCCTCATACCCTATAGATACCATCTATGGCCCCATAGGTGCACCCTCATACCCTATAGATACCATCTATGCCCCCATAGGTGCACCCTCATACCCTATAGATACCATCTATGCCCCCATAGGTGCACCCTCATACCCTATAGATACCATCTATGCCCCTACAGGTACAACCTAAGTCCCATAGATACCACCTATGCCCACACGGATGCCCCCTATCCCCCCATAGATACTCCATGACCCCCCCCCCCCCCAAGAGGACCCCTATAGGTGCCCCCCATGTGCCCCATAGGGGCCCTCACCTGGGCCTGCCGCTGGCTCAGGCGCTGCTGCAGCTCCCGGTTGTGGGCCCGCAGCTCCATCAGCGCTGCCTCCAGCACCCTGGGGTCCCGGAGCCCCTGGCACCCATGGGCGCTATAGGGGATGGGGAGGACACGGGGTGGAATATAGGGGACAGCCATGGGGGGTATAGGGGACAGCCATGGGGGCTATAGGGGATGGGGGGGGACATGGGGTGGAATATAGGGGACAGCCATGGGGGGTATAGGGAACAGCCATGGGGGCTATAGGGGATGGGGGGGATACGGGGTGGAATATAGGGGACAGCCGTGGGGGAGATAGGGGACAGCCATGGGGGGGATAGGGGATGGGGGGGGCACAAGGGGTGGAATATAGGGGACAGCCATGGGGGGTATAGGGGACAGCCATGGGGGCTATAGGGGATGGGGGGGGCACAAAGGGTGGAATATAGGGGACAGCCGTGGGGGGTATAGGGGACACACCATGGGGGGGGGTAGGGGACAGCCATGGGGGTTATAGGGGACACACCATGGGGGCTATAGGGGACATGTGGAGGGACTATAGGGGATGGAGCGGACACGCGGTGGAATATAGGGGACAACCATGGGGGCTATAGGGGATGCGCCATGGGGGTTATAGGGGACATGTGGAGGGACTATAGGGGATGGAGGGGACACGGGGTGGAATATAGGGGACAACCATGGGGACTATAGGGGATGCGCCATGGGGGCTATATGGGTCACACCATAGGGGCTAAAGGGGATGGGGGGGACACGGGGTGAAATATAGGGGACAGCCATGGGGGCTATAGGGAACACACCATAGGGGGTATAGGGGACACACCATGGGGGCTATAGGGGAAGCGCCATGGGGGCTATAGGGAACACACCATAGGGGGTATAGGGGACACACCATGGGGGCTATAGGGGAAGCGCCATGGAGGCTATAGGGAACACACCATAGGGCCTATAGGGGAAACGTCAAGGAGGCTCTAGGGGATGGGGGGGACACGGGGTGGAATATAGGGGACAGCTATGGGGGCTATATGGGTCACACCATGGGGGCTAAAGGGGATGGGGGGGACACAGGGTGGAATATAGGGGACAGCTATGGGGGCTATAGGGAACACACCATAGGGGGTGTAGGGGACACACCATAGGGGGTATAGGGGACACACCATAGGGGGTATAGGGGACACACCATGGGGGGTATAGGGGATGCGTCATTGGGGCTATAGGGAACACACCATAGGGGGTATAGGGGACACACCATGGGGGGTATAGGGGAAATGTCAAGGGGGCTATAGGGGACATGTTGAGGAACTATAGGGGAAACACCATGGTGGCTATAGGGGATGCGCCATGGGGGCTATAGGGGATGTGCCATGGGAGCTATAGGGGACACACCATGGGGGCTATAGGGAAAGCAGCATAGGGGCTATAGGGGATGCACCATAGGGCTATAGGGGAAACACCATAGGGGGTATAGGAGACATGCAGTGGGGCTATAGGGACCTCCAGTGGGGGCTACAGGAGACAGGCCATGGGGCTATAGGGGACACGCAGTGGGGCTATATGGAACCCCCATGTGGATATAGGGACCACACAGTGGGGCTACAGGGGACCTCCAATGGGGGCTATAGGGGACACCCCACAGGGCTATAGGGGACCCCTGTGGGGTCCTATGGGTCACTCACATGGTGCTGACTGGGCGGGGCCTCTGGGCAGCCACGTCATCGCGCTCTTGCTCCGCCTTCCGCCGCTCATGATTGGCCGCAGCCACTGCCTGGGGGCGGGGTTAGGGATGACACGCCCCCGCTTCATCCCAAGCCCCGCCCACTCAATTGGCTCCCATAGTTCTGCCTCTTTTCGTCGTTAGCCCCGCCCCTTTCTCCATTAGGAACGCCCTTTCCCCCTTGATCCCGCCCCTTTCCCATGGCCCCGCCCACCTGCCGTAGCCGATCGAGCTCCGCCTCCCTCCCGCGCCGCTTTGACTCCGCCTCCTTCGCCCGAAGCTCCGCCCCTTCCAGCGCCTCTCGCGCGGCCTCTAGCTCCGCCCACAGCTGACGCTCCGCCTCCTGATTGGATGGAGCCTGCGTCAAGGCCGCGCCCACCCCGTTACCAAGCCACGCCCACCTCCCCCCTCAGGCCCCGCCCACCTGCTGCAGCCGCAGCCGCTCGTAGGCGCGGTCACGTGCCCGGCAGGCCCCGCCCACCCGCGCCTGGGCCCCGCCCACCGCGATCTCCAGCGCGCGCCTGGCCCCGCCCTCCGCAAGGCTCCGCCCCCTTTCGGCCGCCAGGCTCCGCCCCAGCGACGTCACCTGCAGGGGGCGATAACGGTCTCTGATTGGGTGGGACACGCCCCCCCCCCCCCCCCCAAGGCCCGCCCACCTGGATCCAAGCTCCCCCCCCCCCCAGGGGCGGGGCTAAGAGCTGAACTGCTGCTTCTAAGCCCCGCCCCTCCCCACAGGCCCCGCCCACCTTGATGCTGAGGTCCCGGAGCTCCTCCTCCAGGTCCTTGCGGGTCTGTGACGTCATGGGGGGGGGGAGACACACGTGACGTCATAGGAGGGGACACCCCACCCCCCCCTTCCCGTCCAGCGTCCCATGGGGGGGGGGGGGAAACCCCTTTGGTGTCCCATTGGGCGTGGGACACAAAGGTCTGTGACGTCACAGCGCCCTTTCCCACGGGTGGGGGGGCAGCTGCTCCATTCCCATTCATTCCTGATCCCGCCCCGTGCCCTAATTCCAGGCCTGGGGCCGGGAAAGGGGGGAAGCCCCGGGGTGGGGGGTTGGAAGGGGAAATCCCCAGGCAAAATAGGGGGGGAGGGGGACACCCCTTTGTGGCTGGATCCCCCCCCTCCCCCCATAGGTGGCCCCCAGACCCATGGGTGCCCCCCCCCCTCCATTGGATCCCTCCCATAACCGTGGGGCCCGATCCATGGGTGCCCCCCAACGCTGGTGTGTGCGTCCCCCCCCATCCCTATATCCCACCCCTTGGATCCTGGTACCCCCCCCCCCCATCAGCTTCGGGGTCCCCTCTGACTTTTAGGTTCCCCCACCCCCCCATCCCTGTATCCCCCCCTTATCCCTATACCCCCTTGTCCCTATATCCCCCTTATCCCTATATCCCCCCCTCACTGTATTCCCTCCTTATCCCTATATCCCCCTTATCCCTTTATCCCTTTATCCCCCCTTATCCCGATATCCACCCCTTTATCCCTGAACCCCCCTTATCCCTATATCCCCCCTTTATCCTTATATCCCCCCTTTATCCCTGTATCCCCCCTTATCCATATATCCCCCTTAATCCCTATATCCCCCCTTATCCCTACATCCCCCTTAATCCCTATATCCCCCCTTTATCCCTATATCCCCCCCTTTATCCCTGTATCCCCCCTTATCCCTATATCCCCCCCTTTATCCCTGTACCCCCCTTATCCCTATATCCCCCCTTATCCCTATATCCCCCCCTTTATCCCTGTATCCCCCTTATCCCTGTACCCCCCTTATCCCTATATCCCTCCTTATCCCTATATCCCCCCCTTATCCCTATATCCCCCCCTTTATCCCTGTACTCCCCTTATCCCTATATCCCCCCCCCAATCTCAGCTCCCCACTCACCCTCCCGCCGCAGCCGCGTTGTCCCTCGTCCCGTTCCTGCTCCATGGCACAGACCTGGAACCCCCCCAGAACAGTCCCAAACACCCCCAAAACACCCCAAAACACCCCAAAACACCCCGAAATCACCCAAAATCACCCAAAAATCACCCCAAATTCACCCAAAATCGCCCCAAACCCGAGCCGGCTCCAGCCGTGGGGCACCGGGAGGCACCGGCGCCACCGCCCGGCCCGGGGCAGGGAGGACCCGGAGGAGGGGCCCGAGGGTGGAACCCGAGGGTGGGACCCAGAGGCACCCAAAGCCCCATTCATGTGCATCCATGGGCACCCAAAGCCCCATTCATGTGCATCCATGTGCATCCATGGGCACCCATAGCCCCATTCATGTGCATCCATGGGCACCCATAGCCCCATTCATGTGCATCCATGGGCATCCAAGTGCATCCATGGGCACCCATGGGTACCCATAGCTCCATCCAAGTGCATCCATGGGCACCCATAGCCCCATTCATGTGCATCCAAGTGCATCCATGGGCACCCATGGGTACCCATAGCCCCATCCAAGTGCATACATGGGTACCCAAAGCCCCATTCATGGGCATCCATGGGCATCTATGGGCATCCATGGGCACCCAAAGCCCCATTCATGTGCATCCAAGTGCATCCATGGGCATCTATGGGTACCTAAAGCCCCATTCATGTGCATCCAAGTGCATCCATGGGCACCCATGGGTACCCATAGCCCCATCCAAGTGCATCCATGGGCACCCATAGCCCCATTCATGTGCATCCATGGGCACCCAAAGCCCCATTCATGTGCATCCATGCGCATCTATGGGCATCTAAGTGCATCTGTGGCCATCTATGTGTACCCAAAGCCCCATTCATGTGCATCCATGGGCACCCATAGCCCCATTCATGTGCATCCAAGTGCACCCATGGCCATCTATGGGCACCCATGGGTACCCATAGCCCCATTCAAGTGCATCCATGGGCATCTATGGGTACCCATAGCCCATCTGTGTGCATCCACGTGCATCCATGTGCACCCAAAGCCCCATTCATGTGCATCCATGGGTACCCACAGCCCATCCGTGTGCATCCATGGCCATCAATGGGCACCCATGGGTACCCATAGCCCCATCGATGTGCATCCAAGTGTACCCATGGCCATCTATGGGCACCCATGGGTACCTATAGCCGCATCCACGTGCATCCATGGCCATCTATGGGCACCCATGGGTACCTATAGCCCCATCCACGTGCATCCATGGCCATCTATGGGCACCCATGGGTACCTATAGCCCCATCCACGTGCATCCATGGCCATCTATGGGCACCCATGTGCACCCAAGGCCCCATTCGTGCGCATCCATGTGTACCCATAGCCCCATTCATGGGCACCCACGTGTACCCATGTGTATCGATGGGTACCCACAGCCCATCCATGTGTATCCAAGTGCACCCATGTGCATCCATGTGTTTCTGTGGGCATCCGTGGGCATCTTTGGGTACCCACAGCCCCATCCATGGGCATCCATAGCCCCATCCATGGGCATCCATGTGTATCCATGTGCATCCATAGCCCCATCCATGTGCACCCATGTGTATCCATGTGCATCCATGTGTTTCCATGTGTATCCATGGGTATCCATAGCCCCATCCATGTGCATCCATGTGTTTCCATGTGTATCCATGGGTATCCATAGCCCCATCCATGTGCATCCATGTGTTTCCATGTGTATCCATGGGTATCCATAGCCCCATCCATGGGCATCCATGTGTATCCATGTGCATCCATAGCCATATCCATGTGTACCCATGTGCATCCATGTGTTTCCATGTGTATCCATGGGTATCCATAGCCCCATCCATGTGTATCCATGTGTATCCAGGGGCATCCATAGCCCTATGCATGGGTATCCATGTGTATCCATATGTATCCATGTGTATCCATGGGCATCCATAGCCCTATGCATGTGTATCCATGTGTATCCATGGGCATCCATAGCCCCATCCATGTGTATCCATGTGTATCCATGGGCATCCATAGCCCCATCCATGTGTATCCATGGGCACCCATAGCCCCATCCATGGGTATCCATGTGTATCCATGTGTATCCATAGCCCCATCCATGTGTATCCATGTGTATCCATGGGCACCCATAGCCCCATCCATGCGCATCCATGTGTATCCATGTGTATCCATGGGCACCCATAGCCCCATCCATGTGTATCCATGTGCATCCATGGGTATCCATGGGTATCCATGTGCATCCATAGCCCTATCCATGTGTATCCATGGGGATCCATGGGTATCCATGGGCACCCATAGCCCCATCCATGTGTATCCATGTGCATCCATGGGTATCCATGGGTATCCATGCGCATCCATAGCCCTATCCATGTGTATCCATGTGTATCCATGTGTATCCATGGGCACCCATAGCCCCATCCATGTGTATCCATGTGTATCCATGGGCATCCATAGCCCCATCCATGTGTATCCATGTGTATCCATGGGCATCCATAGCCCCATCCATGTGTATCCATGTGTATCCATGGGCATCCATAGCCCCATCCATGTGTATCCATGTGTATCCATGTGTATCCATAGCCCCATCCATGTGCATCCATGTGTATCCATGGGCACCCATAGCCCCATCCATGCGCATCCATGTGTATCCATGTGTATCCATGGGCACCCATAGCCCCATCCATGTGTATCCATGTGCATCCATGGGTATCCATGGGTATCCATAGCCCTATCCATGTGTATCCATGGGGATCCATGGGTATCCATGTGCATCCATAGCCCTATCCATGTGTATCCATGGGGATCCATGGGTATCCATGGGCACCCATAGCCCCATCCATGTGTATCCATGTGTATCCATGGGCACCCATAGCCCCATCCATGTGTATCCATGTGTATCCATGGGGATCCATAGCCCCATCCATGTGTATCCATGTGTATCCATGGGGATCCATAGCCCCATCCATGTGTATCCATGTGTATCCATGGGCACCCATAGCCCCATCCATGTGTATCCATGGGCATCTCTGGGTGCCCACAGCCCATCCATGGGCACCCATGGGTGCTGGGATGGGAACTGACCCAGTCCAGAGCCCCCAGATCAGCTCCACCAGCTTAGATGGGGCCGCAAAGCTGCCCCATAGACCCTCCCCCTGCCCCATAGACCCTCCCCCTGCCCCGCAGACCCTCCCAACCCTATAGAACCCTCCCTGCCCCATAGAGCCCCCCAGGACTCTCCATCTGAGCCAACACATTTATTGGACACGTGCTCCTCCCAGGGTTGGGGGCCCAGCTGTGGGTCAGGTTCACACTTGTGGGTCCCAGTTGTGGGTCCCAGTTATGGGTCTGGGTCACAGTTATAGGTCACAGGTCCCAGTTGTGGGTAAGGGCCCGGTTGTGGGTCAAGGCTCACACTTGTGGGTCCCAGTTGTGGGTCAAGGCTCACACTTGTGGGTCCCAGTTGTGGGTCAGGCTCACACTTGTGGGCCCCAGATATGGGTCAGGCTCACACTTGTGGGTCCCAGATGTGGGTCAGGCTCACACTTGTGGGTCCCAGTTGTGTGTCCCAGATGTGGGTCAGGCTCACACTTGTGGGTCCCAGTTGTGGGTCAGGCTCACACTTGTGGGCCCCAGATATGGGTCAGGCTCACACTTGTGGGCCGCAGTTGTGGGTCAGGCTCACACTTGTGGGTCCCAGTTGTGTGTCCCAGATGTGGGTCAGGCTCACACTTGTGGGTCCCAGTTGTGGGTCAGGCTCACACTTGTGGGTCCCAGTTGTGGGTCAAGGCTCACACTTGTGGGTCCCAGTTGTGGGTCAGGCTCACACTTGTGGGCCCCAGATATGGGTCAGGCTCACACTTGTGGGCCGCAGTTGTGGGTCAGGCTCACACTTGTGGGTCCCAGTTGTGTGTCCCAGATGTGGGTCAGGCTCACACTTGTGGGTCCCAGTTGTGTGTCCCAGATGTGGGTCAGGCTCACACTTGTGGGTCCCAGTTGTGTGTCCCAGATGTGGGTCAGGCTCACACTTGTGGGTCCCAGTTGTGGGTCGCAGTTGTGGGTCAGGCTCACACTTGTGGGTCCCAGTTGTGTGTCCCAGATGTGGGTCAGGCTCACACTTGTGGGTCGCAGCCGCGGGTGAGGGCGTGCAGGCAGCTGAGGCCCAGTGGGTGCAGGCGCTGCCGTGGGGTGCGGGGGGGCAGCAGCAGCACCAGCACCACCCCCTGCCCCACAACCACCAGCCCCGTGTGGGTCGGCAGCGACGTGTAGCACAGCGTGGGGGTGGGCCCTGCGGGCAGCGGCACACGGGACCCACAAGTGACCCCCCGGTCCCACAAGTGGGACCCAGACCCACACGTGTGAGTCCATCCCCTCCCAATGTGTCCCAGCCCCACACGTGTGGGTCCATCCCCTTCCAATGTGTCCCAGCCCCACACGTGTGGGTCCATCCCCTCCCAATGTGTCCCAGCCCCACACGTGTGGGTCCATCCCCTCCCAATGTGTCCCAGCCCCACACGTGTGGGTCCCTCCCCTCCCAATAGGTCCCAGCCCCACACATGTGGGTCCTTCCCCGCAACGGGTCCCAGCCCCACACATGTGCATCCATGCCCTCCCAATGGGTCCCAGCCCCACACATGTGGGTCCATCCCCCACCATGGTTCCAGCCACACACATGTGGGTCCATCCCCCACCATGGTTCCCAGCCCCACACATGTGGGTCCATCCCGTCTTGATGGGTCCCTGCCCCATACGTGTGCATCCATCCCTTCCTAATGGGTCCCAGCCCCACACATGTGGGTCCATCCCCCCCCAGTGGGTCCCACTCAGAACCCTAAGTGACCCCCCCCAGACCCATAACCAACCCCTCACACCCCATACCCAGACCCATAACTGACCCCAGACCCCCAAGTGCCCCCCTCACCTGGGGGGGGTGCCCCCTCCTCGGGGCAGTACTTGGGGGCCATCAGTGCATAGAGGTGCCGGAGGGCGGCCCCACGGCGCTGGGGGGGCAGGACCCCGGCTGGGGGGGCAATGGGGGTCAATGGGGATAATGAATGGGGGGCAATGGGGGCAATGGGGGTCAATGGAGGCAATGGGGGTCAGTGGGGATAATGAATGGGGGGCAATGGAGGCAATGGGGGGCAATGGGGATAATGAATGGGGGGCAATGGGGGCAATGGGGGCAATGGAGGCAATGGGGGTCAATGGGGATAATGAATGGGGGGCAATGGGGGTAATGGGGGTCAATGGGGATAATGAATGGGGGGCAATGGGGGCAATGGGGGTCAATGGAGGCAATGGGGGTCAATGGGGATAATGGGGGGCAATGGGGGTAATGGGGGTCAATGGAGGCAATGGGGGTCAATGGAGATAATGAATGGGGGGCAATGGGGGTAATGGGGGTCAATGGGGGTCAATGGGGATAATGAATGGGGGGCAATGGGGGTAATGGGGGTCAATGGAGGCACTGGGGGTCAATGGGGTTCAATGGATATCAATGGGAGTTAATGGGGTCAATGGGGTTCCATGGGGTTCAACGGGGTCAATGGGGGGTTCCATGAGGGTCAATTGGGGTTCAATGGGGTTCCATGGGGTTCAACAGGGTCAATGGGGATTAATGGGGTTCAATGGGGATCAATGGGGTTCAATGGGGTTCAATGGATATCAATGGGGTCAATGGGGATCAAAGGGGGTTCAATGGCTCCGGTTTGGGGGTCACGTACCCTGCGCCCCCCCTCGGCTGACGCCGCTCTGGGTCCAGCCCTGCTGGTGGTGAACGAGCAGATACCTGGGGGGGGGGAAGGGGAGGGGTTGGACCCCCCCAACCCATCATGGAGGGATCAGAGCCCCATAGCCCCCCACTGGGGTCCATCCCCCCCAATGCGCCCCAGCCCCACACATCTGGGTCCATCCCCCCACATTGGGGCCCAGCCCCACACATCTGGGTCCATCCCCACCCAATGTGCTCCAGCCCCACACATCTGGGTCCATCCCCACCCAATGGGTCCCAGCCCCACACATCTGGGTCCATCCCCATCCAATGGGTCCCAGCCCCACACATCTGGGTCCATCCCCACCCAATGGGTCCCAGCCCCACACATCTGGGTCCATCCCCCCCAATGTGCTCCAGCCCCACACATCTGGGTCCATCCCCACCCAATGTGCTCCAGCCCCACACATCTGGGTCCATCCCCACCCAATGGGTCCCAGCCCCACACATCTGGGTCCATCCCCACCCAATGGGTCCCAGCCCCACACATCTGGGTCCATCCCCCCCAATGCGCCCCAGCCCCACACATCTGGGTCTATCCCCACCCAATGGGTCCCAGCCCCACACATCTGGGTCCAGCCCTATCCAATAGGTCCCAGCCCCACACATCTGGGTCCATCCCAACCCAATGGGTCCCAGCCCCACACATCTGGGTCCAGCCCTTTCCAATGTGTCCCAGCCCCACACATCTGGGTCCATCCCCCCCAATGTGCCCCAGCCCCACACATCTGGGTCCATCCCCACCCAATGTGCCCCAGCCCCACACATCTGGGTCCATCCCCACTCAATGTGCCCCAGCCCCACACATCTGGGTCCATCCCACCCCCAGTGGGTCCCAGCCCCACACATCTGGGTCCATCCCCACCCAATGGGTCCCAGCCCCACACATCTGGGTCCATCCCCATCCAATGGGTCCCAGCCCCACACATCTGGGTCCATCCCCACCCAATGGGTCCCAGCCCCACACATCTGGGTCCATCCCCCCCAATGTGCCCCAGCCCCACACATCTGGGTCCATCCCCCCACATTGGGTCCCAGCCCCACACATCTGGGTCCATCCCCCCACATTGGGTCCCAGCCCCACACATCTGGGTCCATCCCTCCTCAATGGGTCCCAGCCCCACACATCTGGGTCCATCCCCCCACATTGGGTCCCAGCCCCACACATCTGGGTCCATCCCCCCACATTGGGTCCCAGCCCCACACATCTGGGTCCATCCCCCCCAATGGGTCCCAGCCCCACACATGTGGGTCCTTCCCCTTCCCCACTCACGCCAAGACGCCGCGGGGGGGGGGCGCGGGGGGGCCCCTCCCGCAGCCCCGGAGCTGCTCCAAGACCGGGCTCCAGAACTGGGGCACGAGCTGGGGGGGGGGAAGGGGGGGAGGGGCGGGGTCACCAAGGCCCCTCCCCCCCCAGCCCCTCCCCCTCTGCCCCTCCCCCCCAGCCCCTCCCCCTGCCCCACCGCGCCCCCTCTGCCCCTCCCCCCAGCCCCGCCCCCTCTGCCCCTCCCCCACCCCCCCCTTCGGCCCCTCCCCCCCCACCTGGGTGATCACGTGCTGCAGGGGGGGGCGGGGCCCGCAGAGCAGCGCCACCGCCACCCCCCCCACCAGCCCCAGCACCAGGAGCCGGTGCGGGACCTGTGGGGAGAATGGGGGTCAATGGGGGGGTCAATGGGGGGGTCAATAGGAGGGCAATGGGGGGGTCAATGGGGGATCAATGGGGGGTCAATGGGAGGGTCAATGGGGGGGCAATGGGGATCAATGGGGGGGTCAATGGGGGGCAATGGGGATCAATGGGGGGCAATGGGGGTCAATGGGGGGCAATGGGGGGCAATGGGGGGCAATGGGGATCAATGGGGCATCAGTGGGGAGGAGTGGGGGGTCAATGGGGGGGTCAATGGGGGGATCAATGGGGGGGTCAATGGGGGGGTCAATGGGGGGCAATGGGGATCAATGGGGGGTCAATGGGAGGGCAATGGGGATCAATGGGGGGTCAATGGGGGGGTCAATGGGGGGGCAATGGGGATCAATGGGGGGTCAATGGGGATCAATGGGGGGGCAATGTGGCTGAAGGGTCACTTGGGGGCCAGTTATGGGTCAGATGAGGTCAGTTATGGGGCTGGGGGCATCACTTGGAGGCCAGTTAGGGGTCACTTGGTGTACGTTATGGGTCAGATGGGGTCAGTTATGGGTCAGATGGGGTCAGTTATGGGTCAGATGGGGTCAGGTATGGGACAAGGGGTGTCACTTATGGGTCAGTTATGGCTCAGTGGGGGTCAGTTATAGGGCTGGGAGAATCAGTTGTGGGTCCGTTATGGGTCACTTGGGGTTAGTTATGGGGCAGGGGCCTAAGTGGGGGTCAGATGGAATCACTTATGGTGCTGGGTCTGAGTTGTGAGCCAGTTATGGGGCTGGATGGAACTGACCATTTGGGGTCAGTTCTGGGTCACGTGGGGTCAGTTATGGGGCTGGGGGGGGTCACTTTGGGGTCAGTTGTGGGTCAGGAGGGTTCACTTTGGGGTCAGTTATGGAGCTGGGGTGGGGGTCACTTTGGGGTCAGTTCTGGGTCAGAGGGGGTCACTTTGGGGTCAGTTATGGGGCTGGGGGGGTCACTTTGGGGTCAGTTCTGGGTCAGAGGGGGTCACTTTGGGGTCAGTTCTGGGGCTGGGGTGGGGGTCACTTTGGGGTCAGTTCTGGGTCAGAGGGGGTCACTTTGGGGTCAGTTATGGGTCAGAGGGGGTCACTTTGGGGTCAATTCTGGGTCAGAGGGGGTCACTTTAGGCTCAGTTATGGGGCTGGGGGTGGGGGTCAGTTTGGGGTCAGTTATGGGTCAGAGGGGGTCACTTTGGGGTTAGTTATGGGTCAGAGGGGGTCACTTTGGGGTCAGTTCTGGGGCTGGGGTGGGGGTCACTTTGGGGTCAGTTATGGGTCAGAGGGGGTCACTTTGGGGTCATGGGTCAGAGGGGGTCACTTTGGGGTCAGAGGGGGTCACTTTGGGGTCAGTTATGGGGCTGGGGTGGGGGTCACTTTGGGGTCAGTTATGGGTCAGAGGGGGTCACTTTGGGGTCAGTTCTGGGTCAGAGGGGGTCACTTTGGGGTCAGTTCTGGGGCTGGGGTGGGGGTCACTTTGGTGTCAGTTATGGGGCAGAGGGGGTCACTTTGGGGTCAGTTATGGGTCAGAGGGGGTCACTTTGGGGTCAGTTATGGGTCAGAGGGGGTCACTTTGGGGTCAGTTCTGGGTCAGAGGGGGTCACTTTGGGGTCAGTTCTGGGCTGGGGTGGGGGTCACTTTGGGGTCAGTTATGGGGCTGGGGTCAGAGGGGGTCACTTTGGGGTCAGTTCTGGGGCTGGGGTGGGGGTCACTTTGGGGTCAGTTATGGGGCTGGGGTGGGGGTCACTTTGGGGTCAGTTATGGGTCAGAGGGGGTCACTTTGGGGTCAGTTCTGGGGCTGGGGTGGGGGTCACTTTGGGGTCAGTTCTGGGTCAGAGGGGGTCACTTTGGGGTCAGTTATGGGGCTGGGGTGGGGGTCACTTTGGGGTCAGTTCTGGGTCAGAGGGGGTCACTTTGGGGTCAGTTATGGGGCTGGGGGGGTCACTTTGGGGTCAGTTATGGGGCTGGGGTGGGGGTCACTTTGGGGTCAGTTATGGGGCTGGGGGGGTCACTTAGGTGTCAGTTATGGGTCAGATGGGGTCACTTTGGGGTCAGTTATGGGGCTGGGGTGGGGGTCACTTTGGGGTCAGTTCTGGGGCTGGGGAGGGGGTCACTTTGGGGTCAGTTATGGGGCTGGGGTGGGGGTCACTTTGGGGTCAGTTATGGGTCAGAGGGGGTCACTTTGGGGTCAGTTATGGGTCAGGGGGGGTCACTATGGGGTCAGGGGTGGGGGTCACTTTGGGGTCAGTTATGGGGCTGGGGTGGGGGTCACTTTGGGGTCAGTTCTGGGGCTGGGGTGGGGGTCACTTTGGGGTCAGTTCTGGGTCAGGTGTGGGGGTCACTTTGGGGTCAGTTCTGGGTTACTTTGGGGTCAGTTATGGGGGGGTGGGGGTCACTTTGGGGTCAGTTATGGGGCTGGGGTGGGGGTCACTTTGGGGTCAGTTATGGGGCTGGGGTGGGGGTCACTTTGGGGTCAGTTATGGGGCTGGGGTGGGGGTCACTTTGGGGTCAGTTATGGGGCTGGGGGGGTCACTTTGGGGTCAGTTCTGGGTCAGAGGGGGTCACTTTGGGGTCAGTTATGGGGCTGTGGTGGGGGTCACTTTGGGGTCAGTTCTGGGACTGGGGTGGGGGTCACTTTGGGGTCAGTTATGGGGCTGGGGTGGGGTCACTTTGGGGTCAGAGGGGGTCACTTTGGGGTCAGTTATGGGGCTGGGGGGTCACTTTGGGGTCAGTTATGGGGCTGGGGTGGGGGTCACTTTGGGGTCAGTTCCGGGTCAGAGGGGGTCACTTTGGGGTCAGTTATGGGGCTGGGGTGGGGGTCACTTTGGGGTCAGTTCCGGGTCAGAGGGGGTTACTTTGGGGTCAGTTATGGGGCTGGGGTTGGGGTCACTTTGGGGTCAGTTCTGGGTCAGAGGGGGTCACTTTGGGGTCAGTTATGGGGCTGGGGGGGTCACTTTGGGGTCAGTTATGGGGCTGGGGTGGGGGTCACTTTGGGGTCAGTGGGGGGTCACTTTGGGGTCAGTTCTGGGTCAGAGGGGGTCACTTTGGGGTCAGTTATGGGGCTGTGGTGGGGGTCACTTTGGGGTCAGTTCTGGGGCTGGGGTGGGGGTCACTTTGGGGTCAGTTAGTTCAGTTCTGGGGCTGGGGTGGGGGTCACTTTGGGGTCAGTTCTGGGGCTGGGGTGGGGGTCACTTTGGGGTCAGTTATGGGGCTGGGGTGGGGGTCACTTTGGGGTCAGTTATGGGGCTGGGGTGGGGGTCACTTTGGGGTCAGTTATGGGGCTGGGGTGGGGGTCATTTTGTGGTCAGTTCTGGGTCAGAGGGGGTCACTTTGGGGTCAGTTATGGGGCTGGGTTTGGGGTCACTTTGGGGTCAGTTCTGGGGCTGGGGTGGGGGTCACTTTGGGGTCAGTTATGGGGCTGGGGTGGGGGTCACTTTGGGGTCAGTTCCGGGTCAGAGGGGGTTACTTTGGGGTCAGTTATGGGGCTGGGGTGGGGGTCACTCACCGTGGGGCTGCTCTGGGGCAGGTACACGGGCAGGTCACGTGCGGCCGCGGTGGGCGTGGCCTCCCCCCCTGTCCCCGCCCCCCGCGGCAGCAGCAGCGCCGCCAGCAGCGCGCGCTCGGCGCTCGGCAGCGCCCCCCAGCGGCGCGTGGAGGCGCGCACCCGCCCCGCCCCCACCAGGCACCCCCAGCGCGTGCCCGCGGCGGCAGCGAAGGCGTCCAGAGTGTCCTGGGGGGGGCAATGGGGGTCAATGGGGGTCAATGGGGGTCAATGGGGGGCAATGGGGGTTAATTGGGGTCAATGGGGGTCAATGGGGGTCAATGGGGGCAATGGGGTTCAATGGGGGTCAATGGGGGTTAATGGGGGTCAATGGGGGTCAATGGGGGTAATGGGGGTCAATGGGGGTAATGGGGGTCAATGGGGGGGGTCAATGGGGGTCAATGGGGGTCAATGGGGGTAATGGGGTTCAATGGGGGGCAATGGGGGGCAATGGGGGTAATGGGGGTAATGGGGGTAATGGGGGTGATGGGGTAATGGGGGTGATGGGGGAATGGGGGGAATGGGGGTGATGGGGGTAATGGGGTAATGGGGGTCAATGGGGTAATTGGGTAATGGACGTAATGGGGTTCAAAAGAGATAATGGGGGTCAATGGGGGTCAATGGGCGTTAATTGGGGTCAATGGGGTTTAATGGGGGTTAATGGGGTAATGGGGTCAATGGAGGTAATGGGGTACTGGGGGTCAATGGGGTAATGGCGGTCAATCGGGGTTAATGGGGCTAATGGGGGCAATGGGTAATGGGGGTAGTGGGGGTAATGGGGGTCAATAGAGGTAATGGGGGTCAATGGGGGTAATGGGGGTCAATGGAGGTAATGGGGTAATGGGGTACTGGGGGTCAATGGGGTACTGGGGGTCAATGGGAGTCAATGGGGGTTAATGGGGTAATGGGGGTAATGGGGTAGTGGGGGTAATGGCAATAATGGGGTAATGGGGTCAATGGGGGTTAATGGGGGTAATGGGGGCAATGTGGTAATGGGGGTAATGGGGTCAATGGGCATAATGAGGGTCAATGGGAGTAATGGGGTCAATGGGGGTCAATGCGGACAATGGGGGAAATGGGGCAATAGAGGTCTATGGGGATAATGGGGCCAATGGAGGGAATGGGGGCAATGGGGTTAATGGGGGTAATGGGGTCAATGGGGGTAATGGGGGCAATGGGGGCAATGGCAGCAATGGGGACAATGACAGCAATGGGGGGAATGAGACAATGTGGTTAATGGGGGTAATGGGGGCAATGGGGCATTGGGGACAATGGGGGCAGTGGGTGCAGTGGGGGGCAATGGGGGTTAATGATGTGCAATGGGGAATACTGGTGGGGCAATGGGGGTTTGGGGTGGAGCTGGGGGGGTTCTGACCTGCAGGAGGTCGCGGGTGGGTCCGGGGGGGAGGGGCCAGCTGGGGGGGCCCAGCCCCAGCCCCCCCCCGGGGCTCAGCAGCGCGTCCAATAACACGAAACAGCTCTGAGGGGGCACAGAATTTACCCCCATTGACACCCATTAACCCCCATTGACCCCACTGATACCCATGAATCCCCATTGACACCCATTGACACCCACTGACACCCATTAACCCCCATGGACCACACTGATGCCCACTAATCCCCACTGACACCCATTGACTCCCATTAACCCCCATTGACCCCACTGACGCCCACTAATCCCCATTGACACCCATTGACCCCCATTGACACCTTTGACACCCATTGACCCCCATTGACACCATTGACACCCATTGACACCCGTTAACCCAACTGTTCCCCATCGACACCCACTGACACCCATTAACCCCCATTGAACCCCACTGACCCCCAAAGACACCCATTGACACCATTGACACCCATTAACCTCCACTGACACCCATTAACCCCCATTGACACCACTGACACCCATTAACCCCTGCTGATCCCCATTGACCCCCCAACACCCATGCACCCCCATTAATCGCCATTGACACCCATTGACGCCATTGACACCCATTGACCCCCACTGATCCCCATTCACCCCTATTGATCCCCATTGATCCCCATTGCCCCCCACTGACACCATTGACACCCACCGACAGACACCCATTGACCCCCATTGGCACCATTGACACCAGATGACCCCCACTGATCCCCATTGACCCCCCAACACCCATTCACCCCCATTAATCACCATTGACACCCATTGACGCCATTGACACCCATTAACCCCCACTGATCCCCATTAACCTCCACTGACACCCATTCACCCCCATTGATCCCCATTCACCGCCATTGACACCATTGACACCCAATGACACCCATTGACACCCATTAACCCTCATTGACACCATTGACCCCCATTAATCCCCACTGATCCCCATTGACCCCCCCAACACCCATTCACCCCCATTAATCCCCACTGACACCATTGACACCCATTGACCCCCATTGGCACCATTGACACCCAATGACCTCCACTGATCCCCATTGACCCCCCCAACACCCATGCACCCCTATTAATCGCCATTGACACCCATTGACGCCATTGACACCCATTAACCCCCACTGATCCCCATTAACCTCCACTGACACCCATTCACCCCCATTGATCCCCATTGACCCCCACTGACAGACACCCATTGACCCCCATTGGCACCATTGACACCCAATGACCCCCACTGATCCCCATTGACCCCCCCAACACCCATTCACCCCCATTAATCGCCGTTGACACCCATTGACCCTATTGACACCCATTAACCCCCACTGATCCCCATTAACCTCCACTGACACCCATTCACCCCCATTGATCCCCATTCACCGCCATTGACACCCAATGACTCCTATTGACACCCATTGATCCCCATTGCCCCCCATTGCCCCGCATTGCCCCCCATTGACCTCACCATTGATCCCAATTGACACCCCATTGCCCCCACATTGATTCCCACTCATCCCCCATTGACACCCCCCTTGGTCCTCATTGATGCCCATTGACCCTCATTGACCCCCATTGACACCACTGACCCCATTGACTCCACATTGATCCCCACTGACCCCCACTGACACCCCCCTTGGTCCTCATTGGCCCTCATTGACCCCCATTGACCCCACTGACCCCCACTGACCCCCCCAGTGACTGCCCTGGGGCCCCCATTGACACCCCATTACCCCCATTGATCCCACACTGACCCCCCCCAGAGCCCCCATTACCACCCCCCATTGACACCCTATTGACCCTCCCATTGCCCCCCATGACCCCCCCCATTGCCCCCCCCCCCCCCAATACCCTCAGGTCCCGCTTGAGCCGCTCCACGTTACGGATGGGAACCAGTTCATCCAGTCCCAGCACCAGCACCTGCGGCACCGGGGTGAACTGGGAGCACTGGGATGGACTGGGATAGAGTGGGATAGAGTGGAGGGGGGAACTGGGATGCCCTGGGATGAACTGGGATGGAGTGGAATGAACTGGGATAGGGTGGAGAAGGGAACTGGGATGGACTGGGATGGACTGGGATGGAGTGGGATAGGGTGGAGGGGGGAACTGGGGTGGACTGGGATGGACTGGGATGGACTCGGATGGAGTGTAATGAACTGGGATAGAGTGGAGGGGGGAACTGGGATGGACAGGGATGGACTGGGATGGACTGGAATGAACTGGGATAGAGTGGAGGGGGGAACTGGGATGGACTGGGATGGAGTGGGATAGAGTGGAGGGGGGAACTGGGATGGACTGGGATGGAGTGGGATAGGGTGGAGAGGGGAACTGGGATGGCCTGGGATGGAGTGGAATGAACTGGGATAGGGTGGAGGGGGGAACTGGGATGGACTCGGGTGGACTGGGATGGAGTGGGATAGGGTGGAGGGGGGAACTGGGATGGACTGGGATGAACTGGGATGGAGTGGAAGAGAGAACTAGGATGGACTGGGATGAACTGGGATGGACTGGAATGAACTGGGATGGGTGGAGAAGGGAACTGGGATGGACTGGGATGGAGTGGGATGGAGTGGGATAGGGTGGAGGGGGGAACTGGGATGGACTGGGATGGAGTGGGATGGAGTGGAATGAACTGGGATAGGGTGGAGAAGGGAACTGGGATGGACTGGGATGGAGTGGGATGGACTGGAATGAACTGGGATAGGGTGGAGGGGGAGAATTGGGATGGACTGGGATGGGCTGGGAGCACTGGGACAGGGCAGGGGGGTCACTTGCATGGGCTTGGATGGATTGGGAGCACTGGGATGAACTGGGATGGGCTGGGAGCACTGGGACAGGGCAGTGGGGGCACTGGCATGGACTGGGATGAACTGGGAGCACTGGGGTAGGGCGGGGGGGGCACTGGGCTGAACTGGTCTGTACTGGTCTGTACTGGGGGGGGGGTGTCTCACCATGGCACCGAAGGCGGAGTCAAGGAGGCGCTTGAGGGCGGGGCCTGAGGCATCGGGGGCGGAGCTGATTGCAATCAACGTGATGCTGGGGGGGGAAAGGGGGGGGGGCACTTGTGGGGCTGCCCCATGGCACTGACCCCCAAGCGCACCCCCAGCCCCCCATGACCCCTATTAACCCCTCCCAGTCCCCTATGACCCCCCCGTAACCCCTCCGTGACCCCTATTAACACGACTTCCCCCCCAGCCCCCCTTGTGACCCCTCCCATAACCCCATGGCCACGCCCCCTTGCTTTGACCACACCCCCACTATGGCCGAGCCCCCCCCCCCAATTGGTCCCGCCCCATCTCGATCCCTCCCAGGCATGGCCCCGCCCACAACAATGACCGCGCCCCCCCCCGTGACCACGCCCGCGTGTACTGGCCCCGCCCCTTCATTAACCCCGCCCCCTCGTTTAGCCCCGCCCCTGACCTGCTCCCGTCCCCGCCCCATTGCAGCCGGGTCCCGGGGGTCTCCGCGCGCCGCAGCCCGACCCCGGCTCCAGCCCCGAACATGTGGACGCCATTGAGGGCCCCAATGAGGGGGAACGGGGGCTGCGGGGGGGGGCAATGGTTATGGGGGGGTAATGGTGATGGGGGCAATGGTTATGGGGGGGGAATGGTTATGGGGGGCAATGGTGATGGGGGGTAATGGTGATGGGGGGGTAATGGTGATGGGGGAGAATGGTGATGGGGGGTAATGGTTATGGGGGGTAATGGTGATGGGGGGCAATGGTTATGGGGGGGGATGGTTATGGGGGGGTAATGGTGATGAGGGGGCAATGGTGATGGGGGGGAATGGTGATGGGGGGGCAATGGTTATGGGGGGGCAACGGTTGGGGGGCAATGGTGATGGGGGGAATGGTGATGGGGGGGCAATGGTTATGGGGGGGCAACGGTTGGGGGGCAATGGTTATGAGGGGGTAATGGTTAATGGGGGGCAATGGTTGGGGGGCAACGGTTATGGAGGGGTAATGGCTGGGGGGCAAAAGTTATGGGGGGGTAATGGTGATGGGGGGCCAATGGTGATGGGGGGGCAATGGTTGTGGGGCAATGGTGATGGGGGGGCAATGGTTGGGGGGCAATGGTTATGGGAGGCAATGGTTATGGCGGGAATGGTTGGGGGGCAATGGTGATGGGGTAATGGTGATGGGGGGCAATGGTTGGGGGGGCAATGGTTGGGGGGCAATGGTTATGGGGGGGTAATGGGGGGGCAATGGTGATGCGGGGCAATGGTTATAGGGGGAGTAATGGTGATGGGGGCAATAGAGATGGGGGCAATGGTTATGGGGAGGCAATGGTTATGGGGGACAATGGTTATGGGGGGGTCGGAGGGGGCGGGGCCTCACCTGGGGGCGGGGCGGGCGGCAGAACAGCGGCAGCCCGCTGCCCGCGGCCAGGCACAGCAGCAGCGTGGCCCCGCCCCCCTCCGCCATAGCCACGCCCCCTCTGCCAGCACCCAATGAGACCCTTCCCTCACGCCACTCCCCTTTTTATAGCCACGCCCCCATCCCACCTTATTTGGTCAACGCTCCTCCCAGCAACGCCCCCTAAAGCAGCTACTGGCCCGCGAGGCCCCGCCCCCAACCCATGGCCACGCCCCCAAGGTGCCCCCCCGCTCCTCTTGGTCCACAGGCACCGTCCCCTGTGACCACGCCCCGCGCAGACCCCGCCCCTCTTTCGAAGCCCCGCCCCCTCTCCCTAAGCCCCTCCCCTCACGCCACGCCCCTCTCCCTAAGCCCCGCCCCCTCTCCTCCTTTTCCCGCGCCGCCGCTCAGCCCCCGCCACCGGCCGCCGCCATGTCCCGCCGCGGTGCACGCCGGGAAGACCGCGCGGTTACCACGGCAACAGCGCATCCGCGCATGCGCTCCTCCGCTTTCCCCGCCCACCGTTACCGCGGCAACGCCGCGCTGGCTTCGAGCGCGCATGCTCCGCGGTCACGTGTTCCGAGCGGACGTGAAAGGGAACACTTCCTGGCGGCGGCGGCGGCGGTGATCGGTACCGGGGGGGGGGTCGGGCCTGGTTTGAGGCGCTTGGGGGGCCCCATTGATCCCCACTGAGCCCCATTGAGCCCCACTGACCCCCATTGATCCCCATTGAGCCCCCATTGATCCCCACTGAGCCCCATTCATCCCCACTGAGCC